AGAAATTGACAAATTCAATTGTTTTCAAAGATGTTGGATACAACTTTGTAATGAGTGGAAGAGCATTTTTGCTGAAAACCAGTCAATATGAAGTAAAAATATTTTCTCAAAGATTATCAAATAGTGTGAATATTGACTGAATTCTTCACTTTATTTTTGTGTGTGCTTTTGTTTTTTACTGATTTAGTAAAGATTGATTTTGTTTACTTGTAAAAACTTACTGCTTTGACCATTGACTTCTGGAACTTTATTCGCACTTAATTTCTTTATTGTGTTCATGGAAAAGTGAGTTGAAAAATACAATCATTCATAGATGGACTCGCCAGTACACGAAATATAAATGGAACTCGAATTTAAAATTAAGTACTATGCCAAATTGAAAAAAAAAACCTTCCGCTTTAGTGTAGTCTATCTGGCATTCTGATGAGTTTAGACTAGGAGTGTGCAAACTGCGGCCGGCGGGCCAAATGCGTCCCATAGAAAAAAATGTGCGGCCCGCGGAGTAGTGCCAATTTTGAATCGCGTGCGCCCGCGAAGCGAGTTTTTATTTTAGTTCAACCTGATACGTGTGAATAATTCCAACCTCTGCATTACAAACACTACTCGAGTCCAATTGTTATCTATGCCTATGACGTTACAATGCCCCAAATTTTTATGCCTGCAACCACTAGAACGCCTGTGTTAAATAAAGAAGCGGCACACAGTGTCATCACGTTAGTTGTATCTGGCCCTCCTGTATTAAAGGTTGCACACCCCTAGTCTAGACAATTGAAATGGCATGTACCTTTCACGGAGAGGTTAAAAATTTGATAGTACAGATACATATGCAATTACTGTACCACTGGCTTTTTAGGCTGGGAAACTGTACCTTAAGACCAGATATATAGTTTCTTCTCATTACATAAGTCTTTTCATTTGTATATAAGATGCACTTTCGTTCACCAGATAATTTTAGTATGGTTATATAATTAAATAATTACAATAACTTAATGTTTATGCAACTGTCTGTCAATTTTCTTTGCTTATCCATACTGGGAAGCTAATTATATTTGCTATGATGTTGGTCTGCTGTTTTTTTACAGGTTATTTTCCGGGTCATTTCAAATCGTATTCTTCACCATTGCCCGCATACCTTGATCTTTAACCACTATGTTAGTTATGTTTTTCAAATACATTTGAGATATGCCTACACCTGGTTAAATTCTGTGACGATCTTAACAGTGATAATATATATCCCTTTCGTATATAACTGAAAAGTTGAAATATTTCCTATAACTTGGACCCAAATAATAGACCATACCGGTATGTTTGTCATGTTCATACAATCTGCTTTTCATCAGTGATACTTGGGTTCTTCGAATTGACCACAGTAGATGCTGGGTAGATGACGCATCCACATTTCTCAATAGGTTGCGTCAACAATGATGGATTTAAAACGAATGTACACATTCACAACTTAGACCAGAGAATAAATAGGTGTCCTAATATTTTCGACCTTATATGACCAAACAGTGCTTTCAATGTGCTGGTGTTTTGGTAAATTGAGCAGTTCAACTGCTCGAGATGCATGTACTTAGGTGGCAGTCACGTAGGCAGGCGTTCACTACGGTTTTGAACCTCCGCAGGTCAATTATAAGTTCAAGTGTACTCCTACGTAGGGTTGCCGGACTTTCTGTTGAACCATTTCGGGACACCATAACGTCGAGAATTTGAAAAATTGATGCAAAAGAAGGCTTGTGAAACAAGAAAGACGTCAAAGAGTGATGATTGTGCGGCGTGATTTTCGCAACTCGTGTAAATAATTTTATCATATAATCAAAGAAAGAAATGAAATGATGACTGTTGTTTGAGCGTAAATATATACTACTATGGGTTTGAGTGATAAATGCAAAAACATGGAAAACGTACAATTTGTGCCAAGTAGATTTTATTATTTAACAAAAACACAAAAAAACAGTCTTTCTGGTATTTAAATTTGTATTTTTCTTGTGATTTTGCTCTGTAAGAAGTTCTTTGTTTTTACCTTTGTTACTAGGCCAAATATCAATTTGAGTTTATACAAACTAATCAATCTAATCCTATCTTCACTTTTATTTGTCTTTCACCGACTTAAGATGACTGCTGTATATAATCCATTTTGCAATTGTTATGTCCTCCGGAGGTCACGGATAACGAAACATTTATTATGCACAAGATTCAACTCACTTCTATTTGAATAAACGATACATATGTAATCGTTTTTATTTAATTAAAAAAAATATGCGCGTGATTACATCCGTTTCTAGTTTTAAACGAATCCGATACGCTTACATGTCCTTCTGTTTTAGAACGCCATGGTTGCCAGTAAATTCCGGGATAACCGTAGCCCAGCCATTCCGGGACGATTGGTAGCCCTATTCCTATAGTATGTCATATCTCTGTTTCAAATGTTATTATGTATTTGTATTGTGGTTCCGCTCTTTATCAGTACCAGTCTATAGGACTCCTGATAATCTATGGATCATTCAATGAAGATGTAAATGTGAAATCAATTATGTCCGTGTATAATCAAAATGTTCCATGGTTTGCAGTTTGCATCAGTTTGTTATGAAGAACTTTTTTTCATGTATGTATACATCTAGCAAATTTTTGAAACAGATTCATCTTCACATATAACATTTTCCGCTGCAAATCTGTCGCTATTGCAGATTTGTATCTCATTAAATTGTAGGGATGCAGTGATGGATAGATTTCATTCATTCTGTATATATATAAATATATACTATATATCGCAAAAATTTCACATTCAGTTTAGTTGCCAACGATACTATAACACTGGAGACGAAAAAAACGATAACTTAGCACTGTGCGCTCTTTTCACATGTCGGTTTTCAACGACCTCTTTTGAGTTATCTCCACAATCGAATTCATTACGGATTATGATGAATTAAAATCTAGTGATTGCAATATTAGTTCAATCAATTTTCTATTTTATCTCGTATTTCCAGCTCTTGGGTCGAAATCATCGCATCGAGATTTTTAGACTTTCAATAGTGGAAATCAAGATCAAAATTCACTACACTATCTCAAAAAATTACCTTGACTAAGATTTTCTAACAATCTATCAAATAAGGCTTGCATACTCTAACGTTTATAATTTCAAAATTTTTATTTCGTTGGATGCTTGAACCCCTGGGTCGATTGTAAATACTCCATAGCGCTGAACTAGACGAAAATATTATTGCTTTACCGATTTCCGTGGAAAAGGGTTAATGACCCGAATCTGTTAATTATTTAATTGATTTCGAATTCGTTCATACAGTTAAAATCGGAAGCGACTGCAAACCGAAGATATTTAAATCTTATATATTCGTCAAAAATGATTTTTTAAATGAAAGAAATTATTGATAGTTTAACAGTTTTTGATGTGAATTTAGCATAGATTAAAAAAAAATTAGTAGTTCGATTTATGTTATATATATAATATGTCTGTTATATCGTTGTGACAGTGGTTTTATGTAGAATCTAAATTTCATCAGCCGTGAAATATCACAGTGAGGAGTAATGTTTTTATTAGTTAATTTGTGTCGCGGATTGGCATTGAAAGTTCATTGCTGATTACATGATATTTCTACAACTCTTCCTGAAGATGGTGTGTAAAAATATATCTGTATCCATATTTGACCAGCTTTTCTTTCATCAATTTCACAAAATCACAGATTTTAATGATTTTTCAGCATATGTACACTGTACATTTTGATTCTTTTAATCCACAAAAAAACGAATTCTAAAACTTGCTAAACTGAACGGCTTATTTAACGTAATGAGCATAAATTAAACCAACTACAAAGAATGTTAGGGCGCTCGCTTTTTCAAAAGCTTCCTACTTGCTACACACCCATATAAATAAAGCAAAAACAAACAAACAAAACAAATTTAAAATTCGGAATGAACAAAAAACAACATAGTTCAACTGGAAAATTATAATAAAACGCATTGAGTCAATATTTATCTGATATTGTTAAATGGATTCATTTGACTATGAATCAAATTGAAGTTTGTTTTCCAAGTCACAATCAAAAATGATACGAAAACTTTCGTAATATTACTGGAATTTTCAAACACATTTTAGGAAAAGTTTATAAACTCGATTTGGACTCGAAACAAAATTAACAGTGTTGAAATATTTTGCAAAGAATTTGCGGATGTGTGCGGATTTTAACTTAAGGAGCTGGAAGAGTGGTTTGATGTCAATAAAAAGAATAATGCAGAACAATTTATTTACATATATATACACTCGTTAGTAAATTTCTGTATCTGAGTGTTTCATTGGAACTTTTGCGCTTACAAGAAATTTATCGATGTAGGACGTTTGGTATGATTGAACATCGAATGACTATGCTAATCAATACTGGACAATTATATGAAACTGAAATACAGTTAATTCATTTGGCACGATATGAAAGAGCTATTGCAGGAAGCTGTCAAAGATTGTATGCAGAATAAAGAATAGAATATTTACAGAATCAAGCGAAGGTCTGGTTATTTAGTTAATATGGTATTAACAAGCGAGGCTGTGGTGTCGGAGTTTCGCATGTTTTCACTGGAGTCAGAGCCGGAGTCGAGTTTCAATTTTCCGGAGTCGAATTTCGGATTGCGTCGGAGTCGGGATTTCAGACTTTCGATGTTGATAAAAGAAATCAGAATTTCTCAAACAAGCTCAAAATCATTGAGATTACTGATCGATCTTAACAGTCTATCAGAGAAAGCAAAAGGTTTGTTTAAAAATTTGATTTTTTGAAGTTTGACCATGATTGGAATTGATTTCTCTCAATTCGTGAGTCGAAGTCGGGGCCATTTGTACTCAACTTAGAGTCGAGAGCCGATAGCGAATTTTCCCCGACCCACGGCACTGCTCAAAAGTATGATTGTAATTAGGATGGAAATCATGAATATGCCTTATGCAAAACCTAATCAAAAAATGGAAAATTCATAATAATTCCAAATTCACTTCACACAAATTTTTGGTTGAATCAAACACGTGTGGTCTGAAAAGCAATAATACTTAAGCGTAATTTAACATTAAATTCACTGATTCTCTTGTTCCTCGGCCAGTTGATATTTTTTCCAATTGTTCGACCTTTGCGTGCTATACTACATGGAAGTCTCTTTATCTGGGACAAGTTTGTACTCCCTTGTTTTTTCTGCACTTCCGGGATAAGGAGGTGGCGGCGTTACATCACTCTCATCATCGTTTTTATCGATACCATCCTCGCCGATGTTCTCAAAAACAGCACCTGGAGTTTGTATTTTGCACTTCAACGAATTTTGGAATTTCTGTCAAAACGAAATAAAATTAGACGAAGTAAAGATAAAAGGTGACGATAAATGAGAATAAGAAGTCGGAAATTTCTCAACTTCTAAAATCATGGAAAACCATATTTTATAGACTATAAATTTAAGTAGGGAAACGATGGTAAAACACAAACCATACACAAAATAATAAATTTCGAATCTTGGACTTACCTCTTTTAGATTGCTCCCCTTGGCTTTGAACAGAACCCAGATAGCTTTTAATGGAATGCAGAGAATTGACGAAAATGCCAATATCCATCCCACAGCTTGTCCAACAGGTGGATATTCGTAGACGTTGTTATATTTCAATGGCTCATATCGAACAATGGAAAAAATCAAGATGGCCTAAAATGAATTGGAAATAAATAGTTTGAGTTAAAAAGTTAGAGATTGTGTTCGTGCGATTCCTATATTTTTTTTATCTCTATTTTGATAATTTCTCAGTGAATTCTGGGTATTTTTTAGGGTTACTCTTTTTAACACTACATATATAACTGAACTATTTGTGATTGAACCAAGTAAGAAATAGTAACAATTAAATCATTGGATCTCAAGCTTTCGTGATCTGTGGCCTCCTTTTGAAGTCTATCACCACTTTGCGCCCCTGATCTCCGATGCAAAAAAAATTAGATTTAGTTTCAACTAGTTTTCATCGGTAACTTTATTCGCCAAGTTTGATATTAAAAGACAAAAAAACGAGATTAAAATAATAATTGCATTCCGGTCTCTATATAAGCTCTTTGTATCCCTAACAGGGGCTAAGGTCCCAGATTGATGCTTTTAATCTATAAAAATTGTTAATACCTTTAAATCAGCATAGGATAGCTGCGCGCTGTATGCTCAATGACATATATTTTATACTTTAAGAACAAAACGACTTCTTACGTATAGTAAGCATTACACAAAAAACAGAACTGAAAAACCTTTCCATATAGAGTCGAAGTTAATCATTCATAATACTTACAAAACAAAGAGTGGGTGAGCAATATTTCCAGCATATTCTAAAGAAAGGCGATGGCCTATATCCGATCATGTCTTCAATGGCTCTATAAAATTTTTCTCCTCCATAAAACCATCCCACAGCGATACATTGCCACGCCGCGGTCCAAAGTAATGCGAATCCGCTGGCACCGTAGAAGTCAAACAATTGCAGAACGTACATTCCACCCTAGAATAGGTAAGGCAGGATAACTCAAACAAACTGTTTGCCCATAATATTTCATGCAGAATGGTTTATGTCATTGAAAAAGATAAGACTAATAATTGCACAACTTCTAGCATTTACGGATTACATTTTACGGACCTCCAGACGTATGCGCACCAAGATGGCGCACAACCTGAACTCAGGTTGTGTACCAGGTTAGGGTTTAGGTTATGCGACATCTTGGTGCGCATACTTCAGGAGCACCCATTTTACTAACTTCGTGTTTTCATTTTGAGTGATCTGCTGTGATTACACTTCAATTTTTTAAAAATAGCTGTTTATATAAAAAACTATTTATATATGTAATTTCTTGTACAACTAATTCATAGGGCAAAATAACATGCACTAATTGAAGAATTATAGGCAAATTCTTAGTTTGAAGCTGCGAGATACTACTGTTATAGCACTAGTTACTAATAATAGTCTATGGAAAATTATCGTTCCGTGTACGGAACGCGAGCAGATGAACGCGAGCAGAAAAGCAGGTATGGGTTGATTATTCAACAAACCAGACCGAATGAATAGCTGTCGATAGAACAGAGAATTTACTTGAACCATACGAATTAACCATCATTATTACAATCTAATTAAATGTTTCTACTTTTCGTATCTGAACTCACCCTTGTTACCATACTGAGCCCAACCAGATAGCACATAAAACAACACAATCCCATGAAAATTTCCTTCCTGTATTTCCCGCCTCTGAATAACTTGGGATACATATCACCGATTGAAGTAACCAATGCCAATGTATCTGTGACCTGAAAACAAGTATCTTGGTTATTACGGCGCGCAATAAGTACGGATGTGAATCAAGCGAGCAATTTTCAAAAACATAGCATGGAAGTCAAATGATTGATATAGTCACCGTAATGTCACAAAATTGCAGGTCAATAATAAATGAATCGTACCGGATTTCATACGAAGGTGCGCCCGTGAATTGTAACATACAGAAAAATTTGGGATCAAATAACGAGTCCCGTAGGACTCATACAGAATTTGATAAATTAATTAACGCTATATTCTTCAGTTTTGAATACTAAAATTTTGGATCCATAATAAAGAGATTAGTTCATTAGTTACCGAGAAAATTGATTTCCCTTAAGTAAACAGCAGAATTTTGCGACGGCAATGAATAGACACTAGGGTCAAATGACTAATATGCTCACAGCAATGTTAATAAAATTACAGCCAAACGTTGCAAGATTTTTGGTGGCAAGGTGCACAGGTGAAATATAAAAATACAGCAAATTTTGGAGTTGAATATTCTCCTATTCTAAGTACTAAAATATAAAAAATGACCATTTTTCTGAATACTACCAACCCTCAAAACAACGAAAATTTAGCAAAATGATCCGTAGATTCACTTCATGTGCAATAAAATAAGAGGCGCTCCAGAAGTGTGTGTACTGTGTACCATTATGGGGTTAACTTATTTTGTTCGCCTTCTTTACATTAATTTGTGTGAAGGGACTGAAACCTATGGGTAGGGGGTATATTCACTTGGTTAACACAGACAGTTCCCGAACTCGTAATAGAACTAAAATAAGGAAAATAGAAATACAATTATGGTACACACCTGGTACACACACTACGAGAGTACCAAATAAGATGTAGGGCTTACCAGAGTGCTTATCCCAAGTAAGAATATCATGATGAAGAAAAGGCTAGACCATAGTTGTGATACTGGCAACATTGTTACTTCTTTAGGATACGCAATAAACGCTAATCCGGGACCTGTAACAAACATAACTATTAGTTCACATAAATCAAAACGGCCGTGGTTTAAAATTCATAAAAAAAAAAAAAATTGAAAAAATTGAAAAAGAAAATGAATTCAATTTTTACTTATATGATCTCATACTGACAAAAAAATAGTCTAATTGAGTTGCTTTTACTCTACCAAAACAAGTTTCACCTACAAATACTTTTTGATTCAATAAATACCAGATTCGGCTACATCCGCTACTTCTACTCCCATCTCATCAGCCATAAATCCGAGTGCTGCAAAAATTGCGAATCCAGCCAAAATGCTTGTTCCACTGTTCACAACTGATATAATGAGTGTATCCCTGTAAATGCAGTATTAGATTACCGATTAGCAACAACAAGGTATTCGGTGCGATATTCGCATGAATTTTCTAACACGCTGGTTATCAGGCAGCACCTTGGCAACAGGTAAGTATTCCATTCCATCCGAATACAAAACAAGAGAACTTGCTAAAATATACGGACACGAAAGTCAATTGAATAATATGGCAAACACGATACCAGGTAAATGTTAGAAGAATTGTAGATATCGAAAGTCTTATGGTGAATTAGAAAAACCACCTACATTTGGAGTGGCGTTCCGAAGTCGGAAAAAATGAATAATAAAAAGAGTAGTTTTGTAGTGACTTCTTTCATAGTTAATTACTGACAAAATGAAATTGATTCGCCAATCACATACGAAGAAAAGCGATTTTCCACAACAATTTAGCAAAACATCACTCGGTTCAAATCGTGTGTAATGAGGTGACGAAAAGTAGTTCGGATCATTTGTGTAACACATCACAGTAAGCGCAATATACCTCAGGCAATTGTTCCCATATGAGTTGAAACTTCCCAGTGATAACAACACACCAATGCATAGAGAATATGAGAAGAAAACTTGAGTGCCAGCATCAATCCAAACCTTTTAAATAAAGTGAATGTGTTAAATTATGTCCATAATCATACAAAAATGTTTTAAATTAAACGTTACTTAAACTGTTTAAAACCATTTTTTCAGTAAGTATGTTTTATGTGCTTTTATAATGTTATTATATCCATTTAAAATTTTTAACCAAATAAATATAAGTTGATTTACACCGTGACTTGCAAAAATCCGTTACCTTTCTCTCTGTACATAAAGAAAGTAATAGAAAATACCTGAGGTTCAGCAAGTTTTGTCATATTGGGCTGGAGATAGAATTGTATTCCCTTTGCAGCTCCAGGCAGAGTAACACCTCTGATTAGTAGAATCAGGAGCATGATATACGGAAAAGTTGCAGTAAAATACATTGCCTAAAATGATTAAAAGAAATTGATTATCACTATTATAAACATGATTCATTGCCACATTTTATGTTGGCCAACATAATTGGATGATTTTCGATCAGGTCTTGTCATCCTTGACACACCCCAATATTTTGTGAAATGCTGTACTACGGAGTCGGGGCAGTTTACACCCGAATCAGGTTCCAATATCCGATCCATTCAAAAACGACTCCGGCCCAACTCCCATTTGAAAGAAATTTCCACTACGTTCCAGCTACCAACACTCAACAAACCAGATTTTAACCACAAAACAACATTGAGAAATTGCAATTCCTATTCGATTATCTGTTAAGTGTGCATAGTCAACTCCAAGCTCATTTAGTTTTCGTCCAGAATTTTGATTCGATTACCGCCTTTAGAAGTTTGAAATTTCGATTCCAAGTTTAAAAATACGTCTCTGGCTACAATACTATTAAAAACTGCCAAAGCTCGACTCCAATAGCCTTGTGGTCTGATTTCATGTTTTCGGATAAATTACCCGGACGATGTCGCAATCGCGCAATGGATGTTGTGTGGAAGAATATTAGATTATGGTATTTGGGGAAATTCCTTTGTAATTTTAAAGCTTCACCTTTGCTCTTTTATTTATCAATTTTATTGAGACTAATTTCACAAGCAGGAGAAACGCAAGTAAATATACATAGTAAAGGTTTATACGAATACAATATAAAAATTGAAAATCAGAATTAATTATGTCACTTCTCCATTTGCGTAAAATTTCCTAAATAAGTAAAAATCCATTTAATATGAGTCATGTACATAGGTCAAAAGTTCAAGATTTTCATCAGGACAGTTTATGGAAAGATACTGGAATTATACCAAAAATTTACCCTAGTTTTCTACGCATTGTTCATTTACTTAAGACGTATTTGTCTTTAAATATATTAAAAGGGATAGTCCCGATTTGTAAACAATATAGTGCGTAATAGTTGATGTGGACCCAGACTTGATCGGGCCTGAATTGTAAACAAACAATAGTCTGGCAGCAAATATTCAATATCACGCTAAATGTGCTTCTGTTCTAACATGGCATTTGATCCTTTTTAGTTACCGCTAATCGTATATTCTCAACATATCGTTTGAATTGAAATTTAAACAATATTTACAATTTGCAAACGCTTCTTATTCTATTATTTCATATTTTCAGCACTTCAAAAAGCATTTTTTGTTGTTCCGGCTTGTATTTTTGTTGGTGTCACTCTTGAAAAAGTATTGGTTACAAATTTCTTAAAACCTCACAAAAAATTAGCGAACAATTAAATCGGATACCTCTTCTTTTTAGCAGTGGAAACGTATTTCACGGTATATTCACATTAAGGTAATTCCACAATTTAATATTCTTCAAAAATAAATCAAATTTTATTTTTAATTTTTTAATTTGATAATCGTATTCCTGATAAACGATGGACAGAAAACTCATCGATTTGGTGTTATGTATATATTATATACAAAGAGATTATATTACGAACCTCCGAAAAGTAATATGGAACTTGGTATTGTCATAAATGAGGAGTTTAGTCGAGAAAAAACCTCGAAAATAAAGCAGCTATATCATTTAATATCAAAATGTGGATGCTTGGAGAATATATTTGATAATGAATCAGAAACACTATTAAGCTCAACCCACTTAACTTTCCCTGATATTTTTGTTAGTACATATTTTACTCCATATTTTTTGTAAAATATACATCCGTTTTCATTTATTTGTATTATAAAACACCTAAGAACATGTTAAATCGATAACCTTTTATATTTTGAACGAATGTAAACAACATATGTTTTATACAGTAATAGAGAAAGCGTTTTTGTTGACGTTACGTTTACCTAATATCGTCATAGCTGTGTAACAAAACGTTTCATTTTGTTTACAAATATACAGAAAATTAACAAAAGCAAAATAGTTGAGATTTGTGTAATTTTTAGTTTGCTATTTGTCGTAACCGATGTTGTTATGTGAACAAGTACGTACAATAAGTAATATAAACACCAACCTTGCCTGTCGACTTCGTCCCTTTGAAAACAGCTAAATAACACACAAACCAGGCAATAAATAGAACACCTGCCAATTCCCATCTCAATCCACCTACGTCGTCTATTCCACTGCTGATCTGCAAAACGTGCTTCCTGGAAATGAAATAAATATATTACAAACTCGCACCCATGAAGATTCCAAAAAGTTATTTTCCATCAAGGTTTAGCAGAGTAAGTTCAGAGTCAGTCAGAGGTAAAAGAGTCTCATTTCTTATGCGCCCCAAATAACAATTGATGCGAAACTTGATTTAAGTCAAGTCAATATGACAAGGAAAACTGCTGTAAGATAATTAATCGACATATAACGTGCAAATTGACTTCAAAATTTTATTTTTCGAGAGGATACACTGGCATAAAACTCACAGTCTTGGTAAATACAGAAACGAGGGAAATGAATTATAGTGCAAAAATAATGGTGTAGTTGGAATCAAAAATCGGTGTCTTACTCCAACAAATCCTAGTAAACTGGGCGAATGTCAGGGTTAATTAAAATAAGAGTTACGGAGAAGTGTAGCCTATAATTTGGGCTGGATGTCAAATACACACCTCCTAAGACTGACCTATCATTTTTTTCATTCATAAATTACGGTATTTACCAACACGCCACGGGTGAGTTCAAAAACACATAACTACCATAACAACATGTGTCACAGTGCAAGATATCAGGAATATAATCTTCATAGTCCGATAAAAATGAAGTATTGTTCAATTATTCATTGAAGTTGTCAAATTGGAAGAATTTACTCCTTACATACAGATACAACAATCTGAGTTTATTCACGTATATCGGGTTGACTTGGCCCGTATATTATATGGGTGCTGAAAGTTTATTTGGCAATATTACACAGAGGAACTTACAACAACTATCTTCTTATATTGATAGATAGCATGGGTGTCATGTACCGCAGATTTGGCGGTTAAAAAATTTATAGATAGATGTACCGAGTGGAAAAGTACAGCAGTACAATGTAATGTTAAAAATTGCAGTTGTTCAACCCGTAGATACTAAGAAAAGACAAAACGTACATATAAACTGCCAATTGTGGTCCAACGGTAACGTAGGTATTTCATGGCTTTTAATTATCAATTTCATCAATAAACGAATAGGAATACTGACAGGAATATTTTGACAAATAGATTTTCGAAATTTAAAATGCTAGTAAGTTTACTATTTTATTGCTATGTGATAAGAAATATTCTACATGTAACTTTTATATGTTAGTTTTGACCTCTGTGCTTGTATATGGAGCTTCCAAGGACAAGGTGGGAACTGACTGACAACTTAACATATTATTTCACTCTGGAAAGCATTATCAAAAAGTCAATGCTTTTGTTTACTCGCCATACGGGGGGCAGGCTGGACCAATTTCGTTGAATAACTGAACAGTTTGGTAATTTACAGTAATACGGTTGTACTTTTTTAAATAGATTAAAATACATCATTTTATAATATACATCAATTCTAATTATATCCCCAGCCTGTCTTTTTTAATATTAGCACTAAACACATGATAAGTAGAATATCAATACTAAATAGCCACCAAAGAAAAATGAAGTTCAAATTATTTATTTATATTTTACTAGTAACAGGCTCACTTACTCCCAATATTCGATTACTGGTGACGTCACATTAGCTTCTTCGGCAGTCATGTTAATGCTCTTGAGGTACGTGTAGTTAGATTCGCAGTTTGGTGAGTTCCAAGTATTGTTACATGAACTCCATGGAAGCACGGTACGCCAGGATTGGAAGAGATAGAACAACGCCCATGCCAAGATGACAGCGTAATAACACAGCGTATAAAAAATGATGGTGATCGTTGAAACGCCGATACCTTGTATAAAAGCATAAGGTTACCGGAGCTAGAATTTAGTCACATGTAAATAAGCAAATGAATTCCTAGTAATATTATTTTAGCCGTTGAAACTATTTACGGATCACTTTAGGGTTTAGGCGATAAATAACCAGGGCTGAGGAGGGGATTATGTACAATCGATTCCGACTGCGCGATGAAAAATAAATGAAAAAAAATTCCACCGACTCCGAATCTCCGATCAACGGAGTCCGAACTGTAAAAAATTTCGACTCCCGACTCGAGCTCCACAGAGTCAATGACAAGAAATTTGAAGGATTTGAATAGACTATTGAGAACGCCTAGAAACTTAATGCTATCTGGGTTTCCAATAAAGATTTTGACTTTTTTTTTTATTATTGAAAGTATGAAATTCCAACTCCGTCTAAGTTTAAACACCGACAAACTTCGACTCCCGACTCCACAGTATACTGTATACTATATAACATACTGAATCTGCATAATATGATCACAATTGGATACAACTCCAACCACCACTTTTGTCTAGAATTACCAAAAAAATAAAAAATAGAATGCGTTTATTATAACAAATACAGTACCTGATAATAAAGGACAAACACTGTCCCACGCTTTAATTGCTCCAGATTTTGTGAATTGTCCAAGGGACACTTCGAGGAAGAATATTGGAATTCCACTCAACGCCACCACTATGATGTAGGGAATCAGAAAAGCTCCTAAACAAAACAAAGGATATTTTTGGTGTCATGTTAGTCATACACAGAGGGATGGGCATTTTAGAATACCTGGTGGATTTCAGAATCTAATCAAATATAATTTTCGAGATGAATCTCGAATATATATGTATGATTATTATACGTGACTTTTTATTGTATTGGTTCTTCCTGACACTTAAATTGCTGAAAACATAGGTTTCACATAACTCAGATAGTTCGTTGAGTGTTCTAACTCAAAAAGAAACATGTTTCATCAACAACGCACAAGGAAGAAAAGAGTCATATATGTCGAAATTTCATTTTAAAAATGTGCTTTGAATAAAAAAAATGAAGGATTCACCTCGACCTGGCGGACAAAAAATAACAAGATGACGACGATACCAAATTTTGTCTGAACCGATTCGAATAAATAACTATTCGATTCATAACCGACCCTAAAAAAGTTCCATGTGTATTTTGATCCCAATATACCATGAATAGCTCTATTAGATACAAAATCCCCCACAACAATATTTGTGCTAGGTCAAACACCATGAAAAAAAAACTGAATCATTTCGTCCATTGAATACCGGAAGCTATATATATATATATACCCGATTAGTCAGTAATTTCAGAAAAATAATTTTTATATTTTGCCGCACATTCTAATTTATGAAAAAAAAACGCTGTTGTTGCGTTAAATCACGCTAAGATGTTTTAAACGTATTCAAAACTTAATCATTAGTAATATGCTGTGAACAACGATCGCATGATGCTGAGTCATTTATAAGATATTGATATACCGAATCCATAGGTCATAACGACATTGTGATTAAATACAGAATCTAGTTTAGTAATCGAACGCAATACGAATTGGTCAGTTTCATTGTTTTGAACACTACAGTAATATATGATGAAACGTACATGCGGAGTGTACAGACTCAAAAGCATTAGTTTGATTTACTTTTTATTGGAGAGTACACGACCACAGTCTGCGCTGATTTGTATGGATTTTATTATGTAACACCATGAAATCGAAAATAGGCAGTTCGGCCTCGGAAACACCCCCTTACAATTTGTTGATACATTTTTCGTTTATTTGTATACGTTACAGCTTTTACGACTAGCATCACTCAAAAATCGATGCGCTTACGTTGGCCCGAAATGAGGACCTGGCCAAATAAACCACGGTCGATGTACTTGAATCGTCTCCTCGAAAATGCGTGCGCATCTACAGCCCTGTCGGTATAAAACGGTTCATAAGCAAGCTTGGGTAATGTATAGATTATTTGCCATCAGTTCATGGTTCCAGCCCACGATCAGGCATATGTAAAACAATTAAAGAATTTCGGGCAAAGTTAAAATGATACTTGTATCGCGAGCGACTATGATCGCAGGTCTATGTTGTAATTGACAACTCTCGAAATCGTTTTGTCATTGAAGTGGTCTTGTTTTAGCTTTTCATCGTTAACTTCGCTTATACAAGAGATGAATTGCATTTGACATATGTATATGTTTTACACAATTCATACTTGATCGAGGCTTTCAGACAAGATCTAACTCATAAAATGACCGAACACCGGACGTGCTGATTACGGAGGTATCTTACCACAACCCGGATTTTATATTGGCAATGTTAGGTTAAGTTTACTATTATTGAGTATGAACTCACTTTGAAATATAACGGGAATAATGGTCGAAATTTTGCTATTACAAAACTGGTAGTATGAATATGTATGAAAAAAAATTTAACGACTTGTATTACAGCTTATTATACCAAAAAGATTCCAAGTCCAGATTTTAAAACACAGTTTCTCTACCTCCGCCGTTTCTGTAACACAAGTATGGAAAACGCCACACGTTCCCTAACCCAACAGCTGTTCCCGTGCATGCCAGAAGAAAATCGAATCTTCCACTCCAAGTATCCCGTTTCCTCAACTCTTTCTTTTTCTTATGAGGTAAGGCGTCTGAATCCACCACACTTTTCTGTATCAGGACAGACGTACTTCGATTTGCTGTCAACGATTCGCCGCTATCCATATTATACAACGACTGTCGAACAATTTTTAATATAGAATTTAAATATTCGAAATTCTGTTAGAAGAAGCAACTTTTAAATTCTTCGACTTTGAGAACTTTTTTGAATATACGATCAAATAATGAGAATTTAACACATGGCCACAGTATTCTTAATGAGACTAAAAAAATCCGACTAGTCTGACTCAATTGGGCCCCTTTGTAGCGGGCTCTACGATTTCTGAATAAATGATAAGCACGCATTGTCGAAAAGATGATGAAAGAAGAGAAATCCACTGTAGAAATTGTAAAGAAATGATGCTATCACGCTGTCTATCGCCCACTATCGAATGATTGTTTTATTGTTGAACGACCAGGTTTTAGACATTCTTTGTTCGGCCGGTTTCATCGAAATTCTTTTGGCATGCACTGGTGTAGTGTTGGCAAGAAGTTTTTTATACTGACCTGCTACAATAATACACTACGTTTTTGCTTAAAATTTTCAACTGAAACGTGTTATGTATAAATCTAATCTGAAAAAGAAATAAGACCGTGGCGCAACATAATCGATCAAGAGTTTTCCGCACAAATACAAAACGAAGAGATACGAACATAACGACATAGCATACCTCCTCCGTTACGGTAACACAAAAAGGGGAATCGCCATACGTTTCCTATCCCAACCGCTGCACCAATGCATGACATAAGAAAATCGTGTTTTCCGAACCAAGTGTCTCTCTGGGATAAAGCATCCGCCGGCGCCACAGACGTGTTCGTTGGCTGCTGTCCATCTGAAGCAATTGAGTCGTTTTCATCATCTAGTGTTGGATGGACTTTATTCTTTTGCAGGAGACTCATTTCATGAAATTCGGTAACAAATCTTGGTTAAGAGGTACTCAACCTCACCTCTCGCTTATTTCCTCAGACCTGTTACATTTCTTATAATAATATGATAAAACTGGAGTCAAAGTTAGAGGGTAACAGATTTACGACACTTGTAGAACATTTGAACTCAACAGCTTGCCCAAATAGACTTCCGTCGTTGGATATAACGTTGTTATTTAAATGGTATTAGGTGGGGACGTTGCGTAGGCTACTTCTATGTGCGAGTATATTTTCATCACTCCCGCATAAAACTTTCGAAAACTCAACATCCCCTATTGTCAATACTATATTCAGGTGATGTTTTTAATAATTTTAAGGTAACACTGACGAATCATAGTTTTTTATGCATATATAATTTGACAACACGTTGAGGTTTTCCGAATAAACATCTTACCTCTGTGCTTTATAAAAAGTAATTGCAAACTGCGGTGCTGAATACATACAGAGACATGATGGCACACGGTTTAACTCATTTTGACAAAAGCGAAAGCATCACCTTTGCGCTTTTGCAATTCCAGTTGGTGAAGTTGTAAACTAGTAAGGTATTTGAAGATTCACAAAATATAATATTTTAAACAGATTCTAGAAACAATAGCCCACAATACGACGAACTACGAACGAATAAGCATACTAATTTACGAAAACTTTACAGGGTAAACACATATAACATGGCGATCACGCTTCTGTCCAATTTACTTTTATCAGTTCTGTTCAGTCTGATTTCTTTTTACTGTGCGTCGAACAATTACTCACTTTCCTAGAAATTTACTGTGCTCACTTTTAGAACAGCGACTAATCACAGATACAAGATAGTGAAAATATAAGTTACTGGCCTAGTTCGTCAAAGCAGCAAAGGTGGGCCATAACCACATAATTTATTGTATCTTCGCATCTAGAGCTTGCAATATTAACCATGATCAAACTGATATACAGGACTAAAAACCAAACTTTCAATTATCCCGAAAAAACTTCTGAAACAAAGCCGCAGTTGTATTGAAAGTGTCATGAGCCACGATATATCAATATGACGTCACCAATAAATCATGTAGTAATAATAACATTCTGACTTCACAAAGTTTAAGTTTGTTTGCTATTTTAGGGTCAAAGGTTAAAATCAGGAATCGTTTTCTCAAATCCTCTGCATTCGTTTCATTGACTGGGAGTTTTTAATGAATCTCGAATACATGACGGTAATAGAACGTTTAACAGTGTAATTCAGGTTTACCCTTTTCGCAATACGACTAGGTTTAACACTGTCCGGAATTTTTTTGAGAAATGTCAGTGCTTGAAACGTCAAGAGTGTCCGTTTTGGACGACACGACTCCTTTGTATTGTATCATTCAGGGATCTGAGAATGTCCAATCACATACGGTAAGAAATATTTTTAGTTTATAATGTGAGTAAGCCCAATTGGTCTAGTCCCAGTAAAACATTAGCCTGTAACAGTTTGTTCATCGTACCGCAATTGTATGTACAGACAGAGAGATATGAGTCCAAACCTCAAATAACAGAATAAACAGAATTTCTGAATTTACTGATTCGCGATTGACAGATTCTGAGATTGAAATAGTGATTAGAATGCCGAATTATATTGCAAACCATGGCCCCTGCTGCCCTGGTACGATTACCGGTACCGGTACCACTCTTGCATCATCGGGTTGGATTAGTTGGCCAGTTATTTCTGTATTCTGGTATTTGTTTCAGATGCCAGGAAGCATGGACATGAATCTTAGGGTCTCATGTAGTTTCGTACCTAACATACTTCTAGTGGGCGTAGCATAAAAAATTTTCAAGTGTCAATCATAACCCTACCTGACTACGCCATCCAGAAATTACGCCACAGTGACGTAATGGAGCCCTTCAAACCATACAAACTGCCATCCAAGACGCGCAGATAAGCACCTGAAATCGAACAGCTATTTCTCCCGTTTTCTCGACGCAACGGGGAGAGATCGATGACGTTAGTCAGTTCTTTATCGTCGGCGCCGATGCCATTTCGGGCGATCTTACGTATATTTGGCAAGCTCTATGACGTGATTGTGATGTCGTAGTGACATAATTTTTGGATGGCGTAGTCAGATGAGGGGTTAGGATTGACATGTCAAAAAATTGTTATGGTACGAAACTACACAAGACCCGAATTTTGAATCCAAAAATCGGTGGTGCAATATCTGTCAGTCTATAGGTACACATATTGCAGTATTGATAGCCATAGTTTTTTCAACTTTGTCATTTTATAATATTATTTTTTGGGTCTAGTGGGTCAAGTAAACGCAGTAATTGCTCAAATACTGAAGTAACGTCGAACAAAAATGTGATGTCAGGATTTGAAATGTTGTAACTGCTTAAACAACATCGAACAAAATTTGATGCGACTCATCATGTTTTTAAAAAGGGCTGTCTGTCGCGAAATTCTTGACAGATGCGTTTACGGTAGTTAAAATCAAACATTCAAACCTACCCAATTTTCAACTAACCAGGCTCATTAACTTTTTTTATGACTTTAAAAAGCATATAGGCTATAGCTTACCGTATTCGTTCTTTCATTGCTACATATTTTCAAGAATTAAAATTTTAATTTAGGAATTTATTGTCAGAGTACAGAGGGGAGAATTGAAAGAAAATTCATGGGTGGTAAGTTGTAAAGAATTTGTGATATTGGCATATACTTGTAATTTGTATTATTCACTGTACTTAATTCTGTATTTTGTCTCTATATGATTATTTGGTCTATTTCTTAAGTTATGGGAGTATTGACACAAGGACGCTGACTTCAGTTTTTTATTGAAAATTCTATTAATAAGGACATGTTAAGTCAGGACAAATACAAAATATCTATTTAGAAATTAAGAAAAGTTGGTTTATTTTTTTTTTATTTAGGCCATTTTGTTTTGTTGTAATGTATTCTATTGTAGAGCAATTTTTGTCAAGTGAACTATCATTCTTTTAATTTATATAGATAAGAAAACGTTACAGCGATTTCGCTACACTTGTGGAAACATTAAAGATCTCTGGTATGGATTTACCTCTTCCACCCAAAAAACTTATTGGTAACATGGAAAGAGAATTTATCGCTGAAAGGCAGCGAGGTTTACAAAGACTTCTGGAAACCATACTCGCAAATCCGATGCTGGCTGCTAGTGAGATTGTCAAAAAATTTCTCGATGCCAACAGTTATACAACTAATATTCCAGGTTAAAAATTTCTTTCTAGATATTTCTATTGCCATGAAACATAAGATATTTTCACTTAAGAACAGATTCTATTAGTCAAATGAAGAATGTTCAGAACATGTAGAAACCTGTAGCTATATGTCATGAAATTGTCTTTATACAGGGTGACCCACGAAAAGCATAACGCATCAATTTCCTAATTACGGTACTTCTACTAAAATGAAGAAGATATATTTAACATTTGAATTTCTGTTTTTGTATGATTGTACCTGAAAGTTTTGGTGTTCTAAGACGATTTGCACAAAAGTTATTTTCTTTTTAGAATACTATGTTCTGTTTTCGAGGTCACCCTGTGCATTGTAACATTTTTTAATTACCAATTAACATGATCGCTCTGAAAAAGTATATTTTATATCAAAAGTAGTTTCCTACACTGAATTAAGTCTCATACATCCTTATTTATTTTTCCACGTATTCTTTGAGTTACATCTTCAAAGATTAATCCTAGAATAGAAGATTGCAAATATGGATAATGAAACACTCTTGCTGACTGAGTTTGAGTAGTGGGTAGAGCAGGGTAGAATTCAGTGAAACTTTTATGAATGAAAATTTTATACAGATTTTTATCACTTCCAAAACTATTCATAGAAATACAGAATTTTTATTTACAGAACGCTATCATTTTAAGATTAAGTTGAAGCTGAGAAATATATGACTCCATTTGAACCACAGAATATTGTTATACATGTGTGTGATTGGTTGAACTAATCCGTTTGAACGATTGTAAATATTATCATCCCTTTAAGCTCATTATGAGGTCATCTTATCTGTTTATGAAATTAGATTTGAATTATTACACTTGGCAGTTGACACTGATATAACCCCAGTTCAGTCATTCAGGTTTGCATCCCGATTTAGTTGGAAGTTTTAGATATAATTTGGTTGTAGGAAATGTTATTCAAGATAGACAATTTCCTTATAGAAACTACAGAAAAAATTTATGCTTGTCTGGTCGTATGGTTATGCGGAGCTTTAGAATGTCACAGGACTGACAATTTTTGCAAAAACTTCAATATCTTCTGGATAAGATGTCAAATTGACATATTATTCTTCCAGCATTATTGTGATGTGATATTTTGGTAATTTCAGAAGCAGCTTTACAGAATGTATCAATGTTCTTCCGGTCTGAACCACACTGGGAAGTTGTTGAACCATTGAAAGAAATGGGTTGGAGATTACGGAAAACTTATTTTCTTATAAAACCTAAAGATCAACCTAAAAGGCGATTACTTTTATCCTGGGTATGTAGATTTGTTTTGTTATTTTTGTATATTTTCTTTTATATTAGCTAGTTTCCATGACCTTGGCCTTTTTTTCGTGGTACTTTTTGAAGAGAAATTGGTTCTATTTTATTCTTTGAAAATCTGTTTTAAAATATCATTGCTTGAAACTTACAAAAGTTATGTTATGAGAAACAAGTCAACATGTAATTTTTGCATACATAAAACTCAGTTTAAGTTGAGTTGAGGGAACAAGACTTTTATATTCAATGCAGTGAGTAGTGATGTATTCAGTTTACCACAGCTATAGTTTTCATAAGGTCTTGTTACCATTTGAAAAAATTCGTTATTGAGTAAATCGTCAATATATCCTAACCGGTTTGTTTTATTTTAATCAAATTTTTTGACTTCATTTAGGAATACCTTTTCATGCCCACCTTTAGTTAGTTAACACATCAAATTTCTTTTACCTAATTTAACAACAGGACTTGATAAACATCCTGTATAATTTTGATTAAAATACAGTTTGTCTACTTTTAGACTGTCCATGGACCTGATCGTCTTCTGAGTGAGAAAGATATAACAGGGATATTCAAACTTCTCCCAAATTTACAGGTTTGATTCTTTGTGATTTAGATAAGTATTTTTCAAATTTATATTTCTTATGGGACACCGATGAGTTCAAAATTTCTTACAGTATACAGTATACAGCTGACATATGCTTACAAATCAACTGAAAACTGTTTATTTTATAGTTGAAATTTTTTTTTTTCCCGAAAAACAACATGACAATTTAAAAACTCAAGTTTGTCGTGTCTGGGTAATATTGGGGATTTCAAAACATTTTTGAGAAAAACGAAGGTTACGAAGCATAGATCATTAAATTTGAAGCTTACTGTTCAAGCGCAAAACTGTTGCCTGACGGCACCCAGTAAATGAATGTCTTATCTTAAAATTTTTGAAAGATTTTAACAATAAAGAATAGGAATGAAAAACAAAAGATTATGTTTCTTTAATGTTTGAAAATCATTATCTTGCGAAGGATTATCAATAACGATTCCATCTTGAAGATACGATTTAATATTTTATCTATCAAGCATAGGGTAGTGTCTTATCAGCGGTTCAAAAAGTTTTTAAAATCTTATTTCAATTTTCTTGACATGTCATTGGATTAGCTTATCACATATTGTATTTCTGATTATTTATCAATCCTGATATATTAAGTAGTTTGATGATTGTTGGAGTGACTACAGTGGTTTTTATGACTAATGTAAGCTTTCCACTTCATATAAATCTTTAAAAATGACTTTTTTATTGTAAAAGCTAATAATTTACATTGTTGGTGATAGTTTTTTAGCATGATAAATATACATGTTGATTTTCAAACAGATAGCATATGCAAGTATACAACATCTGATTTTTTTAGTTTAGATCAGCGTTTCCCAAACTGAGCGTCTTCAAAGTGTTCCGTGGAAAATATATGAAAAATATGTCAAAATGGGTAGCCATAGCGATTCGCCGTTCAATATTGCGTCACCGTCGGCCTAAAGTGGACCAACTAAGATAGGGTAGTGCCATTTCCGTTAAATGTCGGCCTAGCTTGTTGACTGTTATGTTCATTATCAAGTTTGCAGCAATTCTTTTGGTTTTGCTATAGGCAAACAAGTAGGTCTAAGAATAAAGGCAAATGGTCAACTCTTCTTCCGCCATCTCTGCCTGGTTTTACTTTAAAATGCTGCTTACTCATGTTTGCTAAACTCGAGTCAGCAGATAAATAAACTGCAGCTCACGAAGTTGCAGCAAGTACTTCTATCTCCATTAGACGTAACATTAGAAGCAAACACTACGTAATGGAAAATAAATGACATAGAAAGGTAAAATGAATTTGTTGATTCATATACACAACATTCAAATTAAGAAACAAAACATTTATATTAAATGAAATATGAAAAATATTCAATCATATTTTAGGTATGTTTACCAAAATTCCCTTAGTCAGAACCGCTACATTACATCGTTTTTCTATATCAATTTTACCCTTTAATTTTTTTGTGGTCCGCGAGGCGAGATAAAAAGTGTAATGGTTCCGTGGCCGGAAAGTTTGGGAAACACTGGTTTAGAGTAAGGGTGTGCAACAGGCGGCATGCAGGCCACAACTCATCCTGTCAAGCCAGTTGGTGTGACCTTTGTCAACACTCAGATTTTTCCTCATCATGAATAAAATCCTAACCCGACAGTTTAAGTTTTAAAAGGCGCGCGCGCACATGGGTAAAAGTACACAATGTTTTTTAGCTCTTGTCGTCGCGTTAAATCTTTCGCTGTTTTGCATGGTGTATTTATTCTTGAAAGGCTAAGTGATAGCCTTTTCATTGTGAGAACTTTTTAACTTGTTGTGTACATGGAAAAACTAAATTTTTTATGTGGCTCAGCCAGCTAGGTTGGGTATATGGCCCACCGACAAAAAATCTTGCACACTTCTGGCTTAGGACATTACATATGAATTATAAATAGTCTGTATTCATCAACTAAACTTTGTAATTTTAATAGGAATTTAGATATCATTAGATCATTCTGGAATTAAACGTCAATATTCAAATTAATATGAATTTTTTCAGGTCGCCGCCGTTAGAACTTGTTTTTAAATCATTTTATTTTCATTCTCTATTCCAAGTTGTTTTTTATGCATCTGTAGTCTCTGTTAGAATTGCCTGAAAATATGGATGCATTTAACTTGGCGAAGTGTGATTTTGTTGATGTCATTGACACCTAAAGTGGTTAAAAGCTGTCATGAATAATTCAACAGCTTTGTGCCTAAGTTTCCTACTTATATAAACATCTCAACCACATTTGTAACAAAGTATGACTGAATCCAGTTTTTTGGTTCAAATCGAATTATTGGTTTCAGAAGTGTTCATATTTTATTTGATTAGTTCTACTGTTGATAAGGCATTCGGCTAAGGCCATTCATATATTGAAGCATTTACAAATAAGCGATACAGCATTAACTGCTATATTTTATAGACAAATAAATTTTATAATACTCAAAACAAATGTGTACTTTGTATTTATTCAAACTTGTTTTTTGGTAATACATTGGTAATACATTTCAGTAAATACAGTTGTATGATATGAAATCATTTGTCCACTAATAGCTAATTTCAGTAGCATTATCACTCAAAACAGAATTTCGCATAATCAGTCACAGTATTACTCTTGCTCCAAAGTTTAGACTTGGTATAGTATGCAGGTTCAGGTAACCAATTTTGTGTTCATATTATTTTAGCATCCATCAATCTCATCAACTCAGCATGCAATGACAAATGAAACAGGGGGATTAACTATCAAACAGTTCTATATGAATGGAACGTTGCGAGATCACCTATGCAAGGTGGGTAATGTAAGGATAATAGATAGGCAAACTGTAATTGGAGTTAGTCACTCAATTCAAGTTTGATTTGAGTCACTTTTTTCATAGACTCGAAATGACTCAAAATTTTTAACGAAATATGATGTACCAAATAGAATTAATGTTGCATTAAAAAAATATTTAATTTGCCAGCTTGTTGTAGCAAATAGACCAGTGATGGGCAAGGTTTTTGGACCAGGGACCATTTCCAGACCATTTCCTTGAGCTATTTTTTAGCTAAAACATCAAAATTTGATTTTAGTTTGGTTGTAGCAGCATCAGACGGGCCAGATTGAATTACCCAACAGGTCGGATTTGGCTCGGGGGCCGTGGTTTGCCAATGTCTGATATAGACCAGGCTAATGCAGATAGATCAGAACTATTGAAACAGTGCTAGACTTGGCGGGCCAACTAGCAAAATGTAAATTTTGTGTATTTAATGTTTGTAGACGAAACCTATGAAAGCACACTACCTGAAGAAGTATTGTGCACCAAAAGCGGTTTCACAACTATCAGTAGCTCAAACAAGACAATTTTGCAGACAGATTTTGGAGGTACCGTAATTATCTAAAATGACTTTTTTGTATATTCATTACATTAACAGTTTTAAATAATCCTAAACAGACAGTGGCAATGAATCTGGGAAGTTTTTTTGGAACTTGAGCTCACCATAATAGATGGAGCTGGAAATACCTGGAATTTCAATGCCACCAGCCGCTAACCATCTAAATATCTTCTACATTTATCATTGGCGGATACTTTAAGCTTTAAAATTTAATTTCATAATCTTTAGTAATTTGTTGACCTACATATATTCCCTAAACTGCATTTAGGCTAATTATTCACGTTGGTGTATATACCAATAAATAGTATGTAGCTAGAGATGGAGATCAGCTCCAAGTTGGAAGCAATGAAGCTCTGGTGGAAATTGGAGTATTCTGCTATTTTGGAGTTTTTTTCTATAAAAATTCCAAGTCCACCATTATTGATATAGTAACTTAAAGGGTAACTTTTTTAAAAGCTCGTATTTTCCTCCATATAAATTCCTATCAAACATTCTCTCTACTGAAAACTGATGGTTACCATTTACCAATTTCAATCAGCTTGTTTACATTTGAACATCATCCTTACTTCATTTGGAATGCATAGTTACATTATTTATTATTTCCTTTAGATGTTGAAGTTTTTGCATGAGAAGGGTTTGGCTTGTCATCATCTTCACACAGGTAAGCAGCAATCTTACATTATGTTCGATACATTGGGTTGATGTGATGATTAGGGTTTTACTGTTGGTAATATATTTCATCATATCAATTTGTCATATTATATGCTGAGATATACCTGATACTAGATTGGCTTTGTGATGGTAGTGAGGACATTAAGTGAAACACTGACTCATTGCACAGTGCAAAATATTCAGGATACAAGACTGATGTCAGGTCACTTGCATTCCTGTTTAAATTTAAACTTTTATACTCAATTTTATATGCTATTGCTTTGTACATGGCTCTGTACAATCCCTTATGAAAATACCAAAAACTTACTGGTTCCGCTTGGCCTAACCATTTTATCACACCCTGGGAGCATGGGATTTGAGATACCAACACAATTTCAATATCCACTAGCGCAGCGGTTCCCAAACTTTTTGTTTGATCGGCGCCATATTATTCAGCGAAAAGCTCACGGCACACTTACATGAAAAAAATGATGCTTTTAAATAAAACTTAATTTTGTGATTGTTAATGTGTACTTTAAATTCGTAAACATTTAGGCCTTAAAGAATAAAGGCAAAAGTTGTGCGCCCCGGCGCACACTTTGGGAACCGATGCACTATCCCATTGCAACCAATATCTAAAATATGTGTTAATAATATATCATACTTTTATAGCGCAGATAATTACATTTTGGGTTTTCAGGTAACCTCGTCATTGAAGACAAAGTGATAAAATTACTAGACATTGAAAACTATCTTCTCGGTGTTCCACCATTCTATAAGCCTTTCTACACTCAATTTAGAAAAATTAATGTAAGTAGTAATGATTTTCATTATTGATCATTATCATTGACCTAGTATTCTTAAATTGTTGTATGCATTTCATCTAAAGTTCAAATATCCTAAATAGCAGTGTATCGAGATGTTGCCTATAAAACAATATTTGTTTTAGTGTGATAGATGTAATTTTCAATAGATAAAAATGGGAATGAATATTTCTAATTTTTCAAAAATTGATATTGTTAGGTTGAAATTATGTTTAGACGTAGTTCTAAAACTAAAGATGCAAAAATATTTTTATATGACATATTTATATGCCTTTCACTTCTATGCACAAGCAGTCACTGCTAGGTATGAAGCCACTATAAACTGGGAGAACGAAATCTTTCTGGGTGAAATGGTGGGCACTGGATTTTAACATGCTATCATAGTTAAGTCTTACACTTAAACTAACCACTAGGACACCGTGCCCACATGCACGCCCCAATGAAAATTCAGGGATGATATTTTCAAATATGGAATATCGAGTATATTCTAAAATTGGTCCATGTTTGATATATTTGATTAGTTTGAGATTGGAAATACAGGAAATTATAGATAAACATTGATTTGATATTGTTCCTCTATTTTATAATCACACTGTGAGATTACAATTTCACAAAATTATTCAAATGCAATTGTCTAAATCATTCCTAAAATCAATGTTGTAAATCTTGAAATTCCATGCATTTATTACATTATAGCCCATGTTTAGACAACAATTAATCGATGCTGAATTCTCTTTTTCATGTTGAATATTTTTACAGAGTGCCGAATCCATTGACGTATATAGTTTTGGGCATGTTTTGTATGAAATGGTATTCGGTCGACCACTCAACAAACCAACCATCGAAGAGTTGCCACCTGAATTACCTGCTGAAATTAGTAAGTAAATTTAGCTTAATTTGACTGTCTATACTATAGAACTAACATGGGTGAACTACGACTCGCGGGCCAAATCCACTTATTGGGTAATTCAATCTGGTCCGCCTGATTTTGGCACGTCACACTTACATGGCCCGCCTTCAGGTGGGCAACATTTTTGGCCAAAACCTTGCTCATCCCTGCTATAGAAGAAACTTTTATTCCAGAATTTCGCATATCATCTCGTTACTGGACCATGTCGGGCATGGGATCAGTAAAATAATTATTGGTCTCCGATTCTATAACTGGATAATAATTTAAAACAAAATATTACAATAATAACAGTCATGTGAGACGGTTGTACAGCTTACTCTGGGCCAGCCATGCATTATACCTTGGGATAGTGAGGAGAGCAGCAGTCCTTATGAATATAATTATTCGCTATGCAATGCGAACATTCACAGGGTAACGATTAGAGATCTGAAGTGTGTTCCTAACTCTTAGCATTACATTATATTTTGGTTTATCACCAGTCATTTTTTTCTGCAGGATCTGTCCTGGAATCTATTCTCACAGTAGAAGCATGTAAACTCGGACTTCCAACTTTGGAAGGTCTTCTTATGCATCCATTATTTGTTGACGAAGTTGTAGTAACAGTAGGAATAAAGCCTCAGTTGAAGGTATGGGAATCACAGCTATGCATTGTAACTGAAAATGAGAATGAGCCTACATCAAATAGAGCAATCTACTATGTGATTCATAAATTCATTTCTAACCTTGCTGATTTCATTTCACTGGAAGTCTAAACATGGAATAGTGTTTTGAGTCTTGAGTGTCCAAATTTAGGTAAAAAATGTATTTTTCAATATTAGCCAGGCAAACGAAAACATATATTAAACCAGATCGAAATCCATTATATCCTCTATTTTAAATCTTAATATATTACACATTATTGTGAATAGCTTTACTTGATAAATAATCATTTTAAACGATTGAAGTGTCACAGTGTGAATAAAAATTCGATGATTTTTGAAAAAAAAATTTTTAACACAGAATCAATCAAATAGTTGTTAATCTTAACTTCCCTACATGTTCAAACACAAACTCATTTAATATACATCTTCACTGATATTAACCTTTTCTAATTTCTATTGCTATTATTTCAGATTCCTAGCAAATTGAAAGAAACATTGCGACAATACAAAGATAATCAGCAGAAGAAATTGAAAGAAGAGCAGAAAGTGGTTAGTGGTAAAAATATAATTAGAGGCACATATGTCATGCATCTAATCTCTCGACTATAACACAAGCTAGGGGAGTGGTTCTTCCTTTATCCTTTTGTATACCAGATTTCAAGATTGAAATTAGCAGATTTCAAAAGTGAAATTTAAGAACTAATGAAATTTAAAAATGCGCTCACAGAGCAGAGCTTATTGGCAGCAGTGGAATTTTTGTGTGCGGGTGTGCAGTTATCTGCAAATTTAGTACTCATTCGTTTTTGTGTATGACCTCATTACCGATCAGTTGATCGCTAACTATTTTGAAGATTTTAGTTGGTCACGGTGTTGGCCACTCCTGGTGTAGACTATCTGTTCTGGTGTACTGCAAGTGAACTACGGAAGAGGGTACCCTAAACACTCTGTCCATAGTAGGAGTACAAAAAGCATTTATTCCATACCGGTCAAATTCATCCCTGAGTTGAGATAATTGGCACAAGAGTAAATGCGCTGACTTTATCATTCTACCCTGTTAATCTATTTAATTCTGAAGTCATCTTGAGCAAGGGATTTTGTAACCTGGACATATACAGGTCCAATGTGTATTGCGAATAAAGAATCGGCAGTTTGTCACACAACACATACTCCATGACACCACAAAACTACCGTTTCACGCTTCAAACTCGTGCAGTATGCCACCTTAGTTTTCAAGTTGTATCTAATGTTTATTATCAAATTCTTTCATCAGATATCACAAAATCGTAGACTTTCCAAGGCAAAGGCTCATCATAGTTCAGATGAAGAACGAAGAAGGAGAAAATTAGAAGCTAGGAGGGTGAGTATCTGGAGTATGTAATCCAGATCAGTGGTTCTCAACAACCAGTTCGCGTCAACTATCCTGGCGATCCGCTAAATATATTCCAATATATCTCAATTGCAAAATGCAAGGCATTGATGGCCTGCTCATATATTTTGTTAGTTTTAATCCCAATGCGTAAACCAAACTTGGTCAGAGGTCCTTCGTCCATTACAAGCCTTGAACGGCTGGATGTTTTGTTAAGTCTATGGCGTCATAACGGAGAGCATAATAACCCCGTTGAGCATTCATGCGATACCACGTTGATGTCGAAACATAAAGACTTGCCATTGTCACAGTTTCGGATATCACCTGAAAAAATATCCCGAGCTTAGGCACAAAGCCATTAAATTTCTGCTGATTTTGAACAACTTATTTGACAAAATTTTGAATGTTCACCCATCCGCAAAATTAGTTCTAAAATTTTACTGATCCGCAACTAAAAAAGGTTGAAAACCATTGATCTAGAAACAAGTTTTGAATTTTAAACCTTTTTTTTATTGCAGCTGTGCACTACCCAGCACAAAAAACATTTGATATAAATATCAATTTGTAAATACCAAAATAGTACTAATTAATTAAAAGTAAACACTCATTTTATCCTAATAAATAAATACCCCTGGTATACAATACCTCTATAATATGATGACATCATCATACTCATAATCCAATTAGAATTCTACACAGTATAATTGTAAGGCAATTCTGTTGTTGGTTATTATACATGCTTTTCATAAAAATGCCTGGCAAAAATCTTTCATTTATACTTGTACAGGCTTTGGCACATGTAATTCAAAACTTATATGTTTTCATATTCTAAATTAATTGATCTTACATTTTATTAATCATAGAAATCAGCAAAGAAATTAGAAGGTGTAAAAGAAGAAACTCCAACGCCGACTACAAATGGTAAGAACTTTCAGTATTACACTCAATTGTTTGCAACTATCTGTGACTAGAAATCTCTTTGAGATACCTGTAACACTGTCAATATATTTTCTGCATACATGTTTTGTCACTTCCATTGATTTTGTTCTGGTTACTTATAAGCAGCGGCATGATGGCTGTCTTTTATATAGTTGTGAATATTTTTTTGGTTTAATTGTGTATTCAAGTATATTCTGGGGCTAGGGCTCATCTATGCACCCACATCTCGGTTTTTGTTCACAAAATTTTTCCTATACCCTTACTGTTGCAACACATTTGGATTTGTGTTTATCTAGTTAAAGTGTGTTAACTAGTAGGGAAGTATAAAGAAGGAAACGTATTACTGTTTAAAACCTTCAATGAAACTCTTGAGTGTCCGAGTTATAAAAGCTTGTCTGAGCAGTACCCAAAACATCATTATGCAATTGCTGATTAGTCATTGTTACTTAGGTAAACAAAAAAATTACGCCCGGGGAAACATTCATTTTAAAAGTATCTAATAAAATAGAAAACCAATTGATCAACTTGAATGAATGAGTAACAATCCATCTTGTATCGTTTTTACAGGTGGGAATGAGGAATCATCAGCTGCTTCAGAACAGTCATCTGCATCTCCAGCACCCCCAGGTAAATACTACACCATGATACAAATGCCTGCTATTACTCATCTTGTGATGCTCGCTTGGCATCATATTTTTCCAAACTTTCATCGAACATTGCAGAATTTCTTATGTACGAGGTGTGGCTAAAAAGAAACGAGACTGACGTCACAGATTGCGCAACACGATTAACCATTGGTAATCAACACTTTTACAGTGTGGTGTAATATGTGTTCTTTGTTCAACAGCTTTTTTGACACAATATCGCAATTATTTTTGCTCTTTAGGAGCCATAGGTGAATGTGATTAATTGCTTGTTGAAAAAAAAATTGCCGTGCGAGATCTGATTGAGTTTTTTGGCGATAGGGGGTTCAATTGCAGAATGACGATTGAGCAATGAATTAACATTAAATTTTGTGTCAAACTTGGAAAAACGGCGACTGCGACTTTGAAGAAATTGTGTGATGTTTATGGAGATTCTTCCATGTCCAGAACAAGAGTTTTTGAATGGCACAAGCGATTTGTGGGATGCAGGGAGGATGTGGAGGATGATTCGAAGTCAGGAAGGCCTTGCACTTCCACAACTGATACCAACATCGAAAAGGTATCAGTTGTGAGTTCAGTTGTGAAAGGCAGTTGATTCGCAGCGACCGTCGCTCAACAATTCGCGTCATTGCGAAGTTGGAAAAGACAAAAAAAACGGTTCGCACCAGTTTGGTTGACACTTTTGGCTTGTGAAAGGTGAGTGCCAAAATGGTGCCAAGGCTGTTGACTGAGGAGCAGAAAGCTCAACGATTAAATGTTGCCCAGTTGACATGCATTTTTCCAAGTTTGACACAAAATTTAATGTTAATTCATTGCTCAATCGTCATTCTGCAATTGAACCCCCCTATCGCCAAAAAACTCAATCAGATCTCGCACGGCAATTTTTTTTTCAACAAGCAATTAATCACATTCACCTATGGCTCCTAAAGAGCAAAAATAATTGCGATATTGTGTCAAAAAAGCTGTTGAACAAAGAACACATATTACACCACACTGTAAAAGTGTTGATTACCAATGGTTAATCGTGTTGCGCAATCTGTGACGTCAGTCTCGTTTCTTTTTAGCCACACCTCGTATAAGGTGTAAACAAGGGGTCAATGAAAAGGCATTGTTTTTTTTTCCCTTCCACTCTGAACTAGCCTCTGTACAAGCAGACACATGCTTCAGTATTTTTTAATTTTGTTGAAAACTTATGTCAATTTGAACAATTTTATAACCACCAGTTCATCGATGTTGAAAATAGGCATAAATCTATAGGATTGATCACAAAACTAATATAATTGGCTAAACAGCCATAGAATTTGTCCCCTCTGTATAAGCAGACGCATAGGCTACTTCAGTACTTTTTAATTTTGTCCAAAATTTGGGTCAATTTGAACAATACTATAACCACCAGTTCATCGGTGTTGAAAAATGACCATGAGTTTTTGGGATTGATAGCATAACTAATTTAACTAGCTATACAGCTATAAAACTATTGATGAATTCTCATCCGAAACTAAAATTAATTTTTTTTTTAATTGCAAAATAGCAAAATCGCAACTTTACTTTTGAAATTTGTCTTCATTCCATGAACTTTCATTTTTAGAATGCTTGAGTGTATTCAAATTGAATTGCAAGGCATGTGATAGCTTGTGCACATTGCTAGGTTCCAATAGCACATTCATAAAATGCTGCCTGTGGCTGTTTTGGATTTCTGTTCCATAGAAAATATATTTGAAAACCAATCATAGCAAAGTATCTTTAGTAGTTTTAGGAATTTAGGATAAATAGATGAATGGATTTATGAAGAGCAGCAATTTGTAACCTGCGGATTCAGAGCCGCATTTGGCTCGCTGTTCTCGTAGTTTTGGCTCCCCGAATCAAAGTGGTATCAGCAGTTTTGTGTTAAAATCAGTGGGAATTGAATTAAATGGGGAGCATAAAGCTACATACTAGTCACTTATTACACATCACATTCGCAAGCGATAAAAAGGGGTCGCATTAGGGCCATTTAAGTCTGTAAAAACAAACCTTTTCTTTTGATTTCGTCATAAGCTGAATGAGTGCATCATTCATATTTCATTTGGCTTCTCCTTAGTAAGAACTAGATTATTGCATCATAAGTCATTTTCCAGGAGTTTTAATAGCCACAGACATTAGAGTAGATGTTGCGGCTCCGAGTTTGATTGAAAGGAAAGAGCTAAATAGCTCTTTCAATGCTAAAGGTTGCCGACTCGTGATGTAGAGTGACCCACAAACAGAACCCAGGTCATTTGGAATATATTGGAACATATTCTAGAGAGAACATAACTTTTATTCAAAGCTTCCTAGAGTACTGCAACTTTTTCGTTCAATCATGCACAAACAGAATTTCGAATGTTTATTATATTTTTTTGTGAATGATTGTCAACGCTCACAAAATTATCAAAGTGAATTTCGGCTATTTGTTTAAATTAGTTCTGTCTTCTTGAATTGTTAAATTTTTGTCATGAGTGATTTTGAGAATATGAAAGCTTTTTTGATATAATCTACACAAATTTAGCTTGTGTACCGGTCATCAATGCCCCAAGGGAGAGATCATAAAAACAATGAAAATTGCTGATATCAGACATGTGTATGGACAAATTTAGAAATTAAGACTCATGCTGTCTTCTGAATATTCTCCACATAATTGAATATACTCTATTATTATTTTTGATATGTGGAATATTGGCTAGCACGTAATTTACAGAATTACGTAATTATTTCGAGTTACGGAAGGGAAGTTACGAATTACGTAAAGTCGTAATTATTGGTCAAGCGCTATCGCGATTGAAACGAGCCCCCTTCAAAGCAGTCAATTTCATCGATTGTAAAAAAATTAAGTTTGGTAGGTAGAAGAAGTTAGAGTTTCCGTATTCGCAGCCGTTTTATTCTCTTTTCTTTCTCTTATTACGCAGGTGGGGGAAGGCATGATGCGTTGCCACCCCCGTTTGAGAAAAATTTTGATGTGAAATTTTATCTACCAAAAAGGAAAATCACTCAAACTCCGACTCAATCACTTTTATTAATACAAATCACAACGCATTGAAAAGAAAAATAGAATTTATTAGCATTAATTTACAACGAGTTACGGGTCAGAATTTACCGACGGCTATCGCTAACGGGTAGCAACGATAATTGTGAAATGAAAGACATTTCCTTGCCTTTTTGCGCATATTTTTCAATTCCTAATTTTGCGTAACGTGTGTCAACACCGTTTTTGTAAATCTAGAAACGCGAACCAGCCAATACGTTGAGGTGATAATTAATGTCGCGTTTATCAAACAGCAATATGACAATGGAAGAGAAATTGCGTAATGAACAAACGCAACTTCGTCTTTTCCGGATCGGTAAAGCGATTGAGACGGTGATGTAGAGTGACCACAAACAGAACCCAGGTCATTTGGAATATATTGTAACATATTCTAGAGAGAACATAACTTTTGTTCAAAGCATCCTAGAGCAGGGTTTCCCAAACTGGGGTCCGCGGAACCCTGGGGGTCAGTGATGACTGCACAGGGGGTCCGCAACGATATGAAAGAGTCTGACGGATTTTAGATAGATATAGATAGATAGTTTATTTCAAAAACTCCATAACAAACATAAATTTAAAATGTAGAATTCTGGAGGGCAAGCAAAACCTATAAAAAAGTTTAAAACCTGAGAAGTATCTCACGTGCCTTCCCGCCTGCACCCACACAAAAACACAACCCCAATTAAATGAGGCTTGAGCCAAACTTAACAAACAAAATACACGATAGTATTGAACTTTCGGGCTGTCGTTCTTTTAACAATTAGGTTGATAATGACCAATACCTACAATCTCATGCAAAGATAATGTGAGGAGTGGGAATGTAATAAATTTGCGACGATAGTCATACTCATGAAGCCATAGAAGCTTTAAGAAAGACCAAGCCATGAAAAACTTCAACAACATTCATTCAACACATTAATGTCATCTGTGTTGAAAAGTAAACGAGATAGCGATCGGAGACCGCCGACTTATCGATCTAGCGGCGTGTATACTGATCGAGATCGATAAGTAATAAACCATTATTCTTCCTCGTTGGTTAGGCACAAAAATAGATACGACATAAAATAGGTGTCCGTCAAAACTAAGATTCACAAATAGGGGTCCGCGGCCCAAAAAGTTTGGGAAACCCTGTCCTAGAGTACTGCAACTTTTTCGTTCAACCATTCACAAACAGAATTTCGAGTGTTTCTTAAATTTTTTTGTGACTGATACTGATTGTTAACTCCCGCAAAATTATCAAAGTGAATTTTGGCTATTTGTTTAAATTAGGTCTGTCTTCTTGAATTATTAAATTTTTGTCATGAGTGATTATGAGAATATGAAAGCTTTTTTAATATAATCTACACAAATTTAGCTGGTGTACCATACCAGTCATCAATGCCCCAAGGCAGAGATCATAAAAACAATAAAAATTGCTGATATCAGACATGCGTATGGACAAATTCAGAAATTAAGACTCATGCTGTCTTCTGAATATTCCCCACATAATCGAATATACTCAGCAAAATTGATTCTATTATTATTTTTTATTTTTGATATGTGGAATCAGCGGAAAATACTGGTATTGATTGCGAAATTGATACTCAATGGTCAATAAATTTATACCAATCAATCACAAAGTTTTGATGAATTGATTATTTGACTTTTAACCTTTTCCTTCCCCAGTCTTAATCTAGCATTATATAAATATTTATTGAACGTGTAAATTTGACTATCAATTAACAAAATAAAATGTTTGTGATCAATCTACTCTTGGCAGTTGACACATCATTCTAATCCCATGGAGGATAAATATGTTTGAGAGGATTGCTGGCCGTCATAAAGAGGTTCATGTGATGTAACCACTGGTCGGTAATGGCTTCCTCCGCCATCAAGTCGATGCATCTGAAACAAATAAATAATTAGTTACCTATTCTCATACCCAGCATGCACGAGTAATGCGATGAGATGCAGTGGTTCACTATATGATTAAGTCATCTTATCATTTTTCCTCTCTCCAGGATAAATATGAAAATTCCATTCTGAATTTGATATAAGATTTGAGCAATTCATATTTATATATATATCTAAATCATAGCAAATTGGTATGATTAATGCCAGCTAATCTCCTTTCGAATGATTTGAACCAGAGCTTCATCTCTGACTGTAATTAGGAATAAGAAGAGTAATCGAAATTATGTATGATTCACTGTCTTACCTCAGTCTGTTGAAGCTTCTCAATTTGACGTTTCTGGTTGATGATTTCTATATAATTTTATTTATTCGTACAGTTATTTTTTTCTTATTTCATAATTCATGTAACCCATAATTTGCAGCCTCAACATAGGCGACTTCATCTATCAAGGTTTGTTATTTATTTAGTTATAGATTCGTCGATGAATCTTGCTTTATTATACACGGCCAAGATGAATTATTTATAATAATGTGGGATACATTCACTAACCATGTATAATTGAGCAAAATTTACTGATGAATCTGTAGGCATGGTTTGGTGGAAATAATCATTTCATCTTCATTATTTCAAGGAATTCATACATTTTGTCTTTTTTCACTCTTATTTTTTGTGCTTATGGAATGCTAAATGGAACTCTAAAGAAGGATTTTCATTAAATTTTTAATGGTATTCCAAATGCATGAATAAGTGTGTAGCTAGCTGTGAGTGTATGCCCACATCAGTGTTCACTATTAGCGCACTTTTTTGCGAAAATTGCGAAGCACTTTCGCAACTTTTTTTAGGGACTGCGAAATAGCACTTTTTTCCGATTTTGAAGAGAAATAGCACTTTTTTCCGATTTTGAATGGAATAAAACTTCAAAGTTAACAAATATTTTCGAGTATTAAGTTGACAAATAAGTAACATACTAGTACTTTTGTAACTCAATTCTGCATATCATAACGATATTTACCAGAATTCTAACCTATGAGATGCAGACATAGGAGATAAAGCTTATGCATTAACGGCAAAATTCTTGTTTATAATATGATTATCATACAAGCACACGGATTCCGCTTCTCCCGCATAAACGCTCCCGGCGTCTTTGAAACCAGATGTTGGAATACTACATAGTGCGTTTCTTTGAACAAGAGTGGTCATGTGACTATCAATGATATCGATGAATTCAAAATGACTATAAAAGTGTTAGTAAAGTGTTATAGTCACTTTGGATGAATTGTGACCAAAGTGCACGATTTTCAAATCAGACGAAACTTTTAGCTGCATGTCACAGATTTGCAAAATCACCAAATTCACAAAATACCATTAAGTGCCATTTTATTGTAATCACAATGTTGAAAGCACGTGGCATTTTCCGGAATTTTGCGATATTTACACAACTATTTCTCATTGATATACGAGTACGGGTGGGCAAAATTCAATACTTTTTTGAATCGAATATTTTTAACCGAGTACCGAATAACAAATATTTTTGGAACGTCGGTAAAAAATCTGCAACAAAGCCTTTTTACTGGTTAATTCCGTTGTAATCGCTAATTGTTCTTGTAACCGATCGTTTTGGCGGCGATATCCAGGTTTTGGTAATCTATATTCCCGCCCTCTCTTTTTACAAATATGAATTCTTGGGGGTCGGCGGACATCGAAGTTTTATATTTCGGGTTTACCCGTTGGTTCACATCGGCAGCAGCTGTTGAAGACATTGAGGACTCAAATTAACATTTGCGTTTGCTTTAAAACCTATCAAGATTTGTATATTTACCGTCCCAATTTTATGCAAATGGTAATATTATTGTCGATACCGTGATGCAGATATTTATTAAGACGATAATTAACTTTCTCATGTTTTTCTATGGTGATAAAGTTCGCAAATCCGAAATTGTGCCAATCCTGAATGTTGATTTAAAATAGTGATTGAATAATTCGGCAATAAAGGCATTTCTGCGTGGTCAT